TAATATCAAAACCTGCGAACTTTTAAAAGGGTATCGACGGGCTGCCTGGCAAGTGGCAACAAGGCGTAATGGTGGATATAGAATTGAATCAAATGTACTTTTTTTTTTTAAGAGTAAAATTGATAAACAAAAATCGGAAATAACTTATGGTAATTATCTAAGTGTAGTTTATATGTGGCACAAGACGGAAAGTGTGGAGCACCCAACTCACAGCTCAGTCGTAACTGATCTAGTAAGATAAGCTTGCTAACCATTACATCACGTGGATGTGCTCAAACGAAAATAATTTATGACTCAACATCACAACTTTCATTTTCATACTAAGCCAAGTCTGGGTAAGGCTGAATTTCTCTAATTCTCAGTCGGAACCAATCTCATGCTTATTCGCTTGCATCTTATAGATATTTTGTTTATTATTATTCACTCCTTGAGTTTTACATCAGTCGTCATTTCTTTTACTATTATTTACCAATACCAATCCCAAGAGTCACTCAAGGTAGAGCCTTACTAAATGAAGTTGTTGTAAAGGCGTACAAGGTAAGAGCAAGGATATGTTGGATAGATGAAGGTTGACCTTCGACTTGAAGAGGTTAGGATTGTAGTAATCAGGGAAGCATCTTTTGGGGCGTATGCTCCGCAATACAACAGTTCTGGGAAATAAGCTGAGTGGAACTTCCTCCTTATCAATGGAATATGAAAAGAATGATTCGATGAGTGTACGTGACATGGTGGGTTCTAGCTACGAAGGTCTAAACTGGTGGGACCAAGAATGAGAGTTCGCTTGGATAGAGTAACAAGACGCGAGTAACGTTTCTTCATCTATAGAATAGGGGCTGTAGAGGGAAAATAATTCATCGACCACAAGACCACACAAAGGAACGTCAACATCGTGTTTAAGAGCTTATTTAAATTTCTAGTAATGTCAGCCTACGGTGAAATCACGCTGAAAAGACCTTTTGCCGTTCGATCACTGAAGTGGCGTCGAAACTGGTTACTGCTTAGATGGGGAACGCTTTGGGAACACCGTGTGTTATAAATAACACCCAACAATCCGAAAAACGATTCGGCTTCAGATAAACCACAAACGATTGATAATCCGTAAAAAAAAAACCCCAAAAAACAAATCAATCTAGCAATGTCAAGTTACTTATCTGTCTTCTTCTTCATCTGGAACGTTCTTTTCTTTAAAAACTGTATTTCCATACCTGGAATCGAAACCGAGTTGCCAGCGTGAAAGCCAGGTATCCTAATTAATAATTATTGTTGTTGCTGTTGTTGTTAATTTAATTTCCATTTCGATAAAAAAAAAATTCAGAAGGTTGTCAAGGTGCTTGCTACAAAGCAAATAAATCTCTTTTAAAACATTCATTACTGCGTCCTGACAAACGTTTAAATATTTATTTACTGACTAACTCCAGCCCAAAGCACTAAAAAGAGACCCTTGGATCTCGACATAAATCAACCACAGATATTATGAATAACTCCTTGAACGTGGGAGTGAGAATGTGAAGGGGATAGAATCTCAAATATACTACACAGGCAACCTCACGCCTAGTGCAATTAGGTGGACTTCAAATTTCGGTAAAGTTAGGAGAAGAGTTTTGTAAGTCTCGAATTTATAACATTACGAAACATTTAGAATCATAGAAATGCCAGTAAATTTCTCCCACTTTTTGAATAAATATGTATTTGGTTTAGTCTAGTCTGGTACAAGACTACGATCGCTTTCTTGGCAGTACATTTTATCTAGAGACTGATAAGGCAGGAGCAATTTAGACAGAAAAAATTCAGCCGGAAATTGATACCCAAGAACAAAAAATGTATAAAAGTAAATTTTATCATCACAATTCTTTGCTAATAGTAAAGAGAACGATAGCAGAACATCCTGATATAAAAATTCTATAAAAGCGGAGATATTTGTGAAATGTGATTGTGTGAAAAGTTGTTTAAAAAAATTAGAAAGAAAAAAGAAAAGAAATCACTTCAATTTCCATTCGAAAATGTTTTGGCGAAAACATCGACTTTTAAATATCCACTAAAAACCAACTGATTACTGGAAAAGTATAAAATTTTCGGTACTTATTTAATAGAGAAGTTATTTTTAAAAGTTTTCATTTCTTTTTTTTAAAGAAAAATGAAACAATGGGTACTCACGGTACAAGTAGTGAACGACTTTTGCACAGGTTTATCTCATGCCTCAGGCTTAAATGTTTGAATTCCAATCACAAACGATATTAAGGGGGTACCTCTCTAAGTTGAGGCATTCCCAATGATCTAGTGATTATTTTATAAGTAATAATTAATTTTGAATAAAAAAAACAATATTAGAAATAAAACATACATGTTTATATTTGATCATTAATTAGTAATTAAATTCATATTTATATTGTAAAAATACCGTATATTCTATTATTAGTTATAAGAAGGTCGAATGTTACTTTCTGTAAGAACAAAATTTAATTAAAAAAATTCAAATATTAAAAATATGACTTACACATATTTAAATGACCCTTTTAGAAAATCTTTGTGTATAAAAATATGAATTAAGCTGATAAATGAAAATGTCAAATTTTCTTTTTTGTCATTGAAAACCCAGACGACTCAGTGAATAACGGAATTGTACGTTTGTTAGCAGCACTCCCACCCCACTTAAACTTAACCTGAATTGTAAGTAACATATATTGGATATATAAGCTGTTTAGGGAAATTAAAACCCAATACCTCCTAAATTAAAATAGATTTTCCTTAATCTAAACAACTCATAATATCAATATTTCTTAGAAAGCTATTCACAACATAGCTTGATAATGGAAGGAGACAATAGATTTTAAGTTTAATTTTTATGATTAAATTTATAAATTTAGTTTTGAAACATGGAAATTTTCTATTTTGCGATGGAATCATATTTTAAAAAGAAAATAATTATAATATTTTGCTGTATTGTTTGTATCGAGCACTTTTTTTTTTAAATAAAAAATAATTGCCAAGAACACCGGATTATAAATCTTACTGTTCTTATATACTGTATGTATAAAAGTACAAAAAATTCGATTTGAGGGGGAAAATTTTTATAAGAATATCGATTTAGGTCATTAAAAGAGCTAGCTACAGAAAGAATGCTGAAACAAAAAAGAATTTTCTCAATGTCGGCATCAAACCCAAGTGTAAAATAATATTGGGTAAATGGCCGGAAGACGCAAAATACGAAAGTATGCTTAAGAACATATTTCCGCTAAGCTGAGTTCTTTTCCGGACAGGAATGAAACATTTTTTTGCTTAAAAAAAAACCCAAGGAAACAAAAATAAAAGAATATTGAAAAGTTACTTTTGTTACTAGCATAGTACCTGTAAAAAATTGATGCGATTACTTACGAATATCTGTGCACTCTGCCTCTGATTAAAGTGTCGCACCCCCTCGCATGGTACTTATTTCTAAGATCAGTGTAATATGGGTACCTCCACTTTTTTCGGCAAAATTTTCGATACCTAACTTTAAAATAAATTTTAAAAAATGAAAAAAACATGCTTGCAGATTTCATTTTAGCTTTAATTGAAAGTTTAATCATTAAATTTATTATTTCCATTAAGGAAACAATTCTGGTGTATTTCAGATAGAAACTATATACATTGGAATGTCAAATTTAATTTTGGAATTTTAAATTTTCTTAATTCCCGCCATTTTCTTAATTTTAAGAAATTTGTAAACAAACACAAATTTATCGATTTTAAAAATATTTTAAAAAGTTTCTGACACGTTATTTTAGTAAAATTAGAAAATTTAAGGTTAAATTAATCTGATTTAAAAGAAATATTACTTACTTCTAGCATAAAAAAGTAATATACAACCAATTATTAACGATTGATACTGTTATTTTTATCCAATATTTGATCTACGTGTTGATTGACGAGTGATGACAGCTACTACGGATGACCATAAATGAAAATTATTAGAAATCTGAGTGAACGTTTTTTTTTTTAGTTTTACTGAAAGGGACAAAACTCTTTTTATAATAATGGCAATTTCAGTCTACTGTACATGGAAATAACGTATTAAGTAAAAAAATACAACATAAAAAATTATTTGAAAAAAAATAAACTAAGTTTATTAAACTTTGCAATTTTGATCTCGTAAATTTGGTTTCTACTTAATTACTAATTACCACAAGGAAATAGCCTAATACAGAATTTTGCACGATTTTAAAACTATTATAAATTATTATAATTAAAATGTAAAACAAATGAAAAAATTCTTGTAAAATTTAATTATTCATCAGAAAAAAATTATTTCTTCAGGCAATAATGACCTTAATATTACTTATTTACAAAAGCAATTAAAAGCTTTTCTAATTAAGTAATATCATAGATTTATTGGATTCATTATTTTTCAATTCAGAGCTGATTTTTAGTTAGTGTAAATTTGAAAAAAAAAGTAGGTGAATTACCATCTCTAATGACTCTTACTTTAAACAAAAAAAATTTTTTCAGGAAATAAAAAGGTTTTGAACGAAATTTCAGGACAATAAGTAAGTGGGGTGTAACATATTTAAAAAAAAAAATATTTTTTACCAAAATTTTCTAGAAAGAAATATTTAAAAAATAATTTCATTCATTTGTGAATAAGTCCTGAAAATTTAATTAAAATCGGACAATTACTTGATTTTTATAATAATTTCCAAATCAATGTGTTTTCAACGGAAAAAAAAGCGCAAAAAAAAAAAAACAATGTTATTTTAACAGCACCGCGATGACGTAAATAAAAGAAGACTTTAACCAAAATTTTGAACGTGTTAGAAAATATTAAAAAAATTTCAAAAAATAATTAAAAAATACTTTGGTCTTTCACCTTAATAATAACATAAGCATTTTGACGATAAAACTTGATTTTCGTTAAGTTTGTGGCATTTTTCATTACGCTATGCCGTTTTCCCGCGAAAAAGTGGAGGTGCCTACAGTGTGCACTCTGAGAAAAGTTACACATGCGCGTGCGCATGCACAAGCCTTACGGCAATATCTTGTTGAAACAGTGGGTTTCGTACGATCACCATAGTTAAGCAGCGTCGAGTCTGGTCAGTATCTAGATGGGTGACCACTTGGGAATACTTGGATGTGTGTGTGATGTAATTGATAACGGCTTGGGTTTGGAAATCAGAGAACCAAGTTCCAATTTCAATCAGTTTTGTTATATTCAATTAGGCGTAAATACCCTTGGGAAAGGTTTAAATCCATCTCTTCTTCTCCACCCCCCCCCCAGTTATGGGTTAATTTGTAGAATTTGAATCAGTAAATAATTATTAACTCCAAAATATTCTTACAATCCAAAAATATTTTCTGGTTTTAAATAACATGCAAAAGGTTGATAAGCCGTAAAAAAACAAATCAATCAATTAATAAAAATAACACCCCCCCACACACAAAAGCAAATAATATAGCGATCAACGGCAGGTGTGTTCATTTCCACACAACAGAATTCATGACAGCAAGGGAAGTAGAAATAATGCACGTAGGTGTGACGGGAGAAAGATAATGGGTAAAAAGCTCGAGAAAACTGAAAAGAAAAGCGAGGAATGGAAATAGAGAAATGATAATGTCGAAAGAAAAACAATCTTGCTGTCATGAGTTTTATTAATTTGTTACTCATTTACCTCTTTGCATGTTTTAATATTTTTTATTCTTTAAGCTAAGTACATAGATATTACGGACATTAAAATATCAACATAGCAGTCAGTTATGTACCATGCGTGATACACGCTTAGGCGATCATATATCTTTCGATATATGATATCTATATCGTCTATATCATATGATATATATCGATACATGACTACGTATCTTTCGATACATGACTGACGAGGCAGGTTTTTCTTTCCCGCAGTATGTTGTCATTTCTTTCTGTGGTGGATCAGCTGCAATCCAAGGCTATAGAACCCTGTTTACCCAGAAGAAGAGGATTCATACCTTTACCAAAGGTATTAGCACGTAAGTGAATATAATGGATTCGACTCCACCGTGCCTCCATAGTCAGTTATGTGCCATCATGCGATCATGTATCTTTCGATACTCTGACGAGGTAGACTTTTTCCCGATTTTTTCGTGTAGGTTGCCATTTCTTTCTGCGGAACCTGGTCTGTCCTGCTATTTACCCATAGCTCCGGGTAGAAGAGGATTCCCAAGGGTATTAGTACGTAAGTGAATGTAATGGAGTCGACTGGAATTCGAACTCGGCTCTCCGATTCCTCAATTCGAGCCGCTATCCATTACTCCACCGAGATATCTTATAAGGATGACGTATGTGAACTGCTGTGCAATATCAGTCTTCCTATATAGCAGTGAATACTGGAAAATCTCTTCAGAGATGAAGAAGAGCTTTAAGTTAAGTCAAAATAAATTTAGATCTAAAGAAGGTTGGATTGAAGATGTTTTTAAAAAAATGGAAACAAAATGAATGCTTATAGAGACATTTGAAATTTCTACGATGCATAATAAGGAAGGAGAGCTTTGAGAATTTGATACTCACAAGACATATTTAAGACAAGAGGAGCGGAAGAAAACAACGAGTAACAAACATAAAATGCTTGTGTAAAGGGATGTGAGAACAGGGACTGGAAGGGATGGAAAAAAACAAGCCTTACAAAAAGCTACAAAGGATAGGAAGATTTGGAGAGACATGATCGCTCACGGCCTGAAGGGAAATGGCACGACAACAACAAATAATAATAATAATAATGATGATGATGATGATGATGATGTGATTCTTGCCAGGAAATACTCTATATCTGATTTTCATCAGAAACTTTGATTTAGGAAGAGCTAACCTGTAGTGACCCCAACTCCAGAAAGTCAAAAGGCCTAGGAGTCCCTAGCAGGTGTCTTGAAGACCACCAAGTGCAGAATCGTGTCTCAAAGGATGTCTGTGGGCGAACCCAGCTGGACTTAGAATACAGATGTATAAAATAACCTCATACCAGAAAGTTATATATACGCCCTATTTATGTCACATTGTAGCATGAAGATCCAACGTTCGAAGGAAGACACGAAGTCACATACCCCCGATTCGGCTGGCATTGATCTGACGGAGACTAGAAGTGAATGAACACAATTAGCTGGCGCTGTACTATAAGCACTGCAACCAGAAATAAACTTTTTTTTTTCAAAATATTTTTTCATGCCACCATAGACTAAGCACACCATATCAGGCATATATTTTTAAAAAGTATTAAACTTGATAAAAGTTAATAGAAGGTCCAGTTTGTTACATAAACTTATTGTAAATTGATCACCTTGAAGAAGCCAAATTTAATATTGTAATACAATGTGATTTCTTAAAATGTAAAAAAATAAAATAAAAAACAAAATGTTTTGAAATTCGTAATCTTAAGGACTTGATGAATAGTAATACACGAAAAAAAAAAAAAAAGAAAAAAGAAAAACAGCGAATTTCAGTTTAAGAAATTTTAAAGAATTTTTAAGAAATCATGTCCTATGAAAATCCCTTAGTACAGCATTTCTTAACCGGTGCACCTGGTGGACTAATGCGCCCTGAAAGGTAGCAAATTTATGAATAATTTCTATTTAAAATATCATTATTTTTCAAAATCTAGACACCAAGCACTAAACCAAGTCATTTGATATTTTTAGAATGGATGCTAAATTCCTTAATCTTTAAGGAGTGGATAATCCTTTTTCTTTTTGTCTTCCTGGAGAGATTGAAATCAGTCATAATGGACCTCTTTCTCTCTCTAAAAAAAAATAGCAGGTTCTTGCTAAATCACTTTAAATGAAAACTGTACCGTTAAACTTCTTTGGGAATGATAAACTAAAATTTTATATTTTCAAATTTCCTAAGTTTTCCTTATTAAAATTTAAAGTGCACCACAGACTTTTAGTTTCTCTGTAAGTGTTCTCTGAAGTAAAAAAAAAAAAAAAGGTGGAGAAACACTGTCTTAGTATATCGCCTTTGGCATCGAAATATGCAGGCAATTGCCAGGGCGGAGGGTTCCACAATGTTGCCGAAGCGAGCCTTCAAGTCGGAGAATATCGACTGTAGACTGACTTAGAGATAGTCTCCGTCAGCTCTAATTTACCCAAGACACGCTACCATATGGATGAATACCTATCGAGACATGTGGAGGGAGCGGGTCAGGAGCTCAACTGCGCATCGACTCTACGACCACACCCAGTCGTGAGAATGATGATGATGATGATGATTTTAACCTTTCCTTTACTAACATCCATTTTCAGATATTTGTGCAGGCACGCATAAATTTAAAATTGCACTGGTGAATGGAGCACAGTTAATGTAAAAAAGTTATTGTCCCGTGTTTCCGTTTTGTTCCCAATCACCGGAAGTAAGCTGTAGTGAGACCAACCAAAATACGCTTACCCTGTCAGATAATAGAAGTTACCAGATTTTAGCTTACAGGTTTTTACTCTATGCATAGCTTGCAATTGCAGCTAAATGTTTAGAATGCATTTAAATATGTAAATACTTAGGTAAAAAGATAAGTAAATGCGTATATAAAATGTTGTGACTTGTCCCAATCTGGATTCAAATGATTAAAATCATTTTGTTGCCTTTGTTAAAATTATAACGTTCTCTATAACTCCCATGAACACGTATCGCCTCATGGCGAGTTCATCGTGTCCCCAAGAAAGACTTGCCGCCCACGTTATGAATCACTCATCTTGCGTGACAAAACCGAGCAACAAAAGTGTCATTGACATTTATAAAATTGAGCATGCGATACAGCTTTGATTTCTTTGACGGGAAAACTGAACTACATAGGAATCTTAAGGACAAAAGACAATGCGAACTCTATGTTATACAAAGAAGTTCGGGGAAGAAGCGTTATTGAATTATTCTCCAAAAACACTCACTCAAAAGTCCTAGGCTGAAGAATGAATTAATTAATAATAATAACAATAATAATAATAATAATAATCACCACCGCTAGTCGAAAATGAGCAAATGAAGTCTACGTTGGTTACAATAATCTTGACTGACAAGCGCTTGGAGAACAATCGCCCTGATATCACACTTGTGTGCAATACAGAAATGAAGGGATCCTGATAGACGTTGCGATACATTGGGAAAAGAACATCGTGAGCAAGCGTGAATATAGAGGTACCCAGACCTAGCAGGGAAAATCAGAGAAAATATTCCAAGCAGCAGCTCAAGTTGTCCCTTTTGATGTTTGGCGCATTCGGGACTATTCCCAGGAACAGATACCTTGAGGCTAATTCACATCATTGGGAATGTGCAGGTGACATCCATGCTTGGAACTTATGTGTTGAAGAATTTCTTGTGTCTCTAATCTGCGGATCATCATATACCGACCGAAACATCTAAGAGGCAGAGAGGATATCAAATAAAAATAACAACTTTGGTGAGATAAAGATGAATTCAAGATCATAAATATAAGCAATTTCTTTTTTATTCAAACGTTATACAAGTTGCGATAGAAATACCACCCATATTTTAAAATGTCACCTGTGTAGTGCTAGTGACCTTTGACAAGTGGCAATGGTGTCTCCAACTAATGGCGTCTCTAACTAATGGTGTCTTTTCATTTTTTCAGATACCATCAATTACCATCGTGACTTGGATCGGTGTACACCATGCGTTTGATGCTTTTTTTAAAGACTGGTGAATCTGTAATTGCGACATAGAAAGCTTTTCATGCTTGTGTCATGTTATGTCGGAATGTTGCTGTTCCGGATAGAAAAATGGATACTGCTATGAGTTGAGAATTTCAGGGTCACAGGTTCAGCGCTTAATAGAAAGACCGGGAAGCGCTTAAACTTCCGGGTGATGGAAAACTTTAGAAATCGTCTACAGCAGTATATGGTGAACAGACACCAGTTTGGAGGATATCATTTTTAAAACCAAATAAGTAAAAGATGTAGCCCCTTGTTTAAACAACAAGTCTTTTTTTCAATCAGTAAAATCTGGGAGGTATATCTGCCGCACCCTGTATTTAGGGATTAACGTACTTGAATATATATATATATATATATATATATATATATATATATATATATATATATATATACTATTAATAGAAATCTTATAAGTATAAGAAACTATACTCGCTCGGAAAACCTTCAG